GGCGAGGGCGAGGGCCGAGGGCAGGGGAGGGCGAGGGGGCGCGAACGAGGGTGAGGCGAGGGCGAGGGGCGAGGGCGAGGGCGGGCGCAGGCGGGGTGCGGGCGGTTGCCTTTGCCGGCGGCGCAGGTGTAGCGATTCCGTCAACCCACACCCCACGTCCCACCACCTCACTCCACGCGGCGCGACTTAATGCACGAGGAGAGGAAATCGGCCACGCGCGCCGCGAGAGAAAGGAAGGCAGATGAGGCAGCCGAGAGAAAGGAAGCAGATGAGCCGCGGCGATTGATGATCGCGGCACGCGGCCGCGCCTTCATCACTCACTCGCCCCACCCCTCATCCCCCCACCCTCTCATACCCCACCCACGGTCCACGCCGCGCTGGCGGCGGCGGCGCCGCCGCATGTTAAACGCCAGAGCAGCGCTCCGCGCGCGCCCACGCCGCCAGGGGCGCCACTAGCGCCCTGCCACTGCTCTCCCCGTCTTCATTTACTTCTGTAGTGCTACGATCATTCCTCAACTTCATCCCCTCTGAAGTACTACGATTATTCCTCTACTTCATTTACTTCCTTATTACAATAATTACCACTTATAATTCATTAGCGATTCCGGGCGTGTCAACTGCTAAGGTTATTAGCCCCGTAAGTGTAGTGCATGTTTCGCAAAGGGAGGGGGAGGTGATCTTCCCTCCTAGACGGTGAGATCCGGCGCAGACCTACCATCAACTGGCGGTGTTTTTCCTAACAAGGTATCTGCCGCCAGCACGAGCCCGCTCCCCGAGACCAGCTCGAATCTCCCGACCGAACTCCCGGATTGTGTGGTAGTGTTGTGAGTGTAAGTGTATCTGTGTGTAAGTGGTAGAATACGACACGATAAGGAATGGGAAGGAAAGATCCTGAAAGGTACGTGGTTCATTTGTTTGGGTGCTGCTCTGTCATTCACCTGGTATTGATTGGAGAAACCACAGAAAGTATCGATCAGAGCCGGCCGCTACAAGTCTCCTTCTGACAGCGACACAACTCGATTTAGCTATTCAGAGCATTTAGGACTATCCTCAAAAAAGTTACAATAAAAATTTGATGCCGTTTTTGAGCAAATCTTTGTTTGGAATGGCTTTTATTTCATGTAAAAATTACACGCAAACTACCCACGTGTAGAAAAAATATAAAATATCTTTCCTACGGACCTAATTGAGGAATAGATCAAATTTTGAAAAAAAAATCGCTATCATCGTTGTAGTTGTAGAAAGACCACAACATAGTTTAACTTTTGTACTTTTTGATAATTTAAGTAATTCAACAAATATTTGGCTGTGCAGTAATTGTGCTTTGCACTCTCTGAGAAATAATTTCCACCATTGTTTAGAAACATCTGGAAATGTCACTGAGAATTCATATAGAGATCCTCAAAATTAAAATAGCTGTTTCAAATTTCAATAGCAACTTTATCAGTCAGAGTGAGCAGAAACTATCAGTTATGGAGAAAATTCTGCCTACAGTTTACCTTCTAGAGTTACCTACAGACCACACACGGACATACGGACAATCCGGCAGTTGTTTGGCCGCGAATTAGGGCCAATAAATTGCATAAGTTTCATTTTGAAAAAAATCTATTCGATTGAGGCTATAATGTTATTCTTTGTTGGATGATCTGTCCAACGGTTCTTGCAAAAAAACTTTTATGCCCCCAAAAAGTGTAATCATCATAACATCATAATCTCTTTACTGACTCTTGAAAGCTTGTATACTTTTTTACAATACTCTAAGATTTCGACATTGATTTGTCTTCTGTACAAAATGACGAATTACACTTCTAAGATTTCGACATTGATTTGTCTTCTGTAGCTCTACAAAGCAGCTGCTGCAGGGAGTTTGGAGACTTCAGGTTGTACTCTCCCAGATTCCGAAACAAGCTCCTTTGCCCCTCCTGTTGGAGGCTACCAGTTCTGAGGTTGATCGAGTGGAGAAATACCGATCGCGCCCAAGTCTTAGTCTCGCCTTAGCTCTGAGCGAGAAGTCGCTGCCAACATTGACATAGAAAACGCAACTGGGACCCCCCCGCCCAGCGAGGTTCCCTTCCACTCTTCAATGGCTGTTTCGTCTCGCGAAGCGACGCCGAACCTGGGAGACAACTGAGCAACAGGCTGCGCGTTTCTAATCAGCTACCAATTGTGTTATATGTATGGCACACATTCCAAACATAAGTGCGGAGATATCTACGAAAATGTAAGAATCCATAATTTAAAACAATTGCTTTTAAACATTCAAATTTTTCATATGTATTTAAACACTGTCCAGGTTTAATGTAAGCGGGTTTATCAATGATATAGAAACTAATATTTCGTTATTGAGGGAAGAGAACATTGCAATCATATCAATGTTAAAAAATAAAATCGTATTTAGTTTGAAATAATTTTGAGGCAATTATTTTTTGACAAATATTAATTAATTTATAATTAGAGTAATTTAGACTTTTCAACCTTCAAGTGTTCGAGCTATGAAGTGAACACGAATGAAAGTGAAGGGGGGATTTGCGTTTCCCCTATATTTACCACATTTTTTTAACAAATTGAACTACATTGTATACAAATACTTGTGGAGAATATTATGTAAGGTCTGCTTTAGTAATAAAATACTTCAATAATTTGTCAACATTTTAAACTAAAATAAAAGTATTTAAATAACATAAATCTTTCTTCTAATATTCACTTAAAATCAGCCATCAACTAAAAGGTAAACATAATATGATAGCAATATAAAATAATTTCATTAAGTTTTTGAGTGATAGGCTGCATGAAGTAAATATTAAAAATTTAATACGCAACAAACAACTTTAATATTAATAATCTTAAGGTAAGTACTTGTTAAAATTTTTTCTAACGAATAAACCTTAAAGACTTTATTACTAGATTCACGAACCCACCATCACTTAGACCACCATGAATAAGAAAAATTTGTGGACAACAAATTTTAGAAGCTCTTAACAGTGTCTTCGAAACAACGAATGGAAACAAGATATTTCTCACAAGATAAAAAATTATTAGCTCAAAATACACGATTTTTTACTTACATTTTTAGTTAACACGCACAAACCCATTCCATACACGTGTAATTGCGGGAAGGCTAAATGACCACCGTTTAGTACTGTACCGTAAAGCGCTAATTAGTCGCTGAGCCCGAAGCTTCCATTTCTGGTTTATTCGAATTACCGTTTCTGACGGCAAAAATATAACTAGAGATTACAAAGCGTAGAAGAAAAAGAGCGCGTTTTTCAAATGGGTGGCCAATTGATCTGTCTGGCGAACGCGCGAAAGTTAAAAAACTATTCTGACATCAGTGAATTTCCTGTTTTTTTATAATTGATATAGGCCATCGAAAAAGTGTATGATAATATAAACGAAAGGATATTAACGTTTTGCGTGACTTGCTGCAAGAATTTCATTTTAAAAACCAAAACTCCTGTATTGTATGAATGGACAAATATTGAAAATTAACATAGCGAACATAAGATATTATTGTCACATTTTCAAGGAACTTAGATTTTTGAGACTTTTATTTCTCTGTATTCACTATTTACAGTACTGTGTACAATTTGGCATGAGAAAAATAAGCAAAATGCAAATGTGTTATATAAAATAACATACCTCTCACAATGAAATAAAATCAGAAGCAAAATATGTGATTGAAACAATGCAATGAAATGGAAAAGACGTGTTATTCATAATTCAGCAACAATAATGTAAATGTGCAAATCTAATGAAATAATGTAATCTGAATGCATTAACAGTATGATGCACATACTCACGAAGTTTATGCACTCTAAATGTAATACAGGTTAAGAGGATCAGAAGGTT